TCTTAAGAAGCAAGATTTTGAAGCTGACCATTTCACTAAAAACATCAATTAAAAATACTGTTATTAGCTTCACAGTGAACAATAAGCATAGGAGTATATACGTACACAATAAAAACAGCCTACTACTTGAAATAATTAATTACTGTAATAGCTGGTATCAACAGTGGTAGACATGGAAAAGATGGATAGATAGCTATGCTACTAAATGCAGATAAACCACTTGCTATTAAATAAAATATTTTGCTCCTGAAAACACTACACATACAAGGAATGTATTATAATTATTAATTATATTAACAAAAAAAAAAAAAAAAAAAAAAATTTTTTAATTCGGCAATTTGCCTTTAATCACTGAGGTCAACCCTATTGTTTCCTGAAGAGTATACCTTGGTGTTTTAGAGAAAAGTTGTTGAAATTATTGAGTCCACTAAGCGTGCCCCTTTGTCATCTTTAGCATGAACCACCCTTTCCATGTCTAATTTGAAGCAATAATGTACACAGGGTTTTCATTAGGTCAGCTCTGTGCTAACTTTTAAGGGTCCTTGATGCACTTTCATGAAACAAATAGGAAATATCAAAATAAATATACAAGAATTTTGTAGTGACTGGGAAATAACCAAATTTTTTCAGCTTTTGTCAGAGAAAAAAAAAAAAAAAATACACCAAGTTCCCATCATTGAAACCCTGGTACATAAATGGCAGAGTCTACTTAACAAAGGTTATGAACAGTGAAGAAGAAGGAATGCATGCTTTTTTTTAAACTAATGCCACAGCCCCTTGTACTGGGTTTAGCAACATTCCAAATAACACTGGTGTTAGCTGATAGGGAAAGAGCTTGTACCAACCATACTGCTGACGTTTATATAGCAAAATCACTTTAAAAATCCGATCATCTATTTCATATTTTATGTTGCTTTTCACTGAATTTTTGTTCATTGGCTTCAAGTTGTGTAAGTTTCATCTAAGAGTAAATTGACTTATTTGCTGTCCAATATTTCAGTTTTTGTAAGTCATTTGAATATCTTCATAAAAATAAAAAATAAAATAAAATAAAAATAAATAAATAGATGAAAACTTGGAAACATCATATATTCATAGATCTCCTACTAGTATACGATTCACAAAAAAATTAATACAAGAAAAAAAAAATTATCACAATATGTTTGTTGCATTTTATGAATCTTAACACTATTTCACTATCATATTTTTGTACTGATGACATTTGCTTTTCATACATGTATGATGTAAATTTAGTTTAGATTTGAATAGTTATTCTAACTATTCTTCAGGGAAATGTACAAACATTCAAAGCCTTTTTACACACAGATATCTTAACAACATGAATATTAAAATACTTCATAAAAACTTTATAAAGTGATTAAAAGAGGAAAGGTCCATGGAATAAACCGTACATCTTAGGGAAAACAATGAGTTTTAATTTAGAATGGGATAATTTAACCAAGAAACACAGGCATATTTTATATAGCACATCATATCTTAAAATGAAAAATTTTATGAAATTTGGAGGGAGCAGAAAAAAAACCATCAGCTGCACTTAGATAAATTCTAATGCTGAACTATGTGGTAGAAAATACCGTCTTCAGATAATCATATTAAACCACAGTGACCAGAAATTCAGACGCTTGAGATATTTTGGGGTCTCTATGCATGTAACACAAGACTCAGTGAAATAATCTAAACATTGCAATAAAAAATGAGGAAATAAATTGATATTTCAGCCATATCTGAATGCAGCTTATGTGTTGAAAATACAGGAATGTTATCACAAACCAGAAACAAGTGAAAGGGGTGGGGATGGGGGTGGGGGAAGGGAGACTGGTCGGGCTCCTTGTACCTGTAGAGGATAAGTGAAGTTTATCCTGCTTTCGTATGCTGTGTATGAGGCAGTCCACCACCGTGACACCTGCACCTGCGCGACCACTCTGTACACCTGCCGCACTGTCCCAGCTTTAACAAACAACACATTGGAATATGATACTACAGCAGGCCTCCTCACATTAAATCTTATATCTTAACGATACAGCTGCACTGATATTCTGAAAAGTTCTAACATGTCATTGCACTAGAGGGGACTTTGCTTCCTGCTGTTTATTAAATGGAAGTTAATCAGTTGGCTGTGTTGAGTGTGGGGGCTTAGTTTAATTTTATTAAATTAGTTAATATCAATTTCCTTTTGTACTCTATTCTGTAGCATAAAGGCTACGAAGTTGTCAATCTTTAAAAACATATCAAAACAACTGTATTCCCTAGATACAATTCTCAATGTAAAAAGGCCTTTTACAATACTAATTTTAACTATAAATAGTACATTAACAATTAGCACTATAACATGAATAAAGCATATTGTACTGTCGTAATCCATACTATCATCATGGCCATTCATATTGAATCATATATACGACTAATGAGTACACCTGAGATTAGAGAAAATAATTAGAGAATCATATCCCATCACTTGTTAAAGGCAGAGAAAAGGAGAAATGAAATATAAGAAATTTACATTCAAAGTGCGTGTATTCCAATCAATGTTTTACCACTGTTAATTATTTAATCTAGACAAAGCTATTATTTTTATACAGTAATGGAAATTGACATGTATGCCTTGGCTGAATGTATTATATATTCTGTCAATGCATTTACGGTTGGGGGAAATAAATATCAATCTAGACCATCAATATCAGTTACTGAAACGCTCTTTGCCTCTCGGTTTCTTGTAGCACCATATCTGGTTTGAATAAAGAGCTACTCAACGGCATATAAGATGGAATAAACAATTGAAAGATCACAAGTCTTAGGCCCCATTCAGAATAGGGGACTAACTAGTCTGTGGGTCAAATATGGCAACCCACTACAAAGCTTCCCGTTTAATCTGCTAATAGACACTGAGTAGATATCTCATGGGAAAGTATTGAAGTGGGTTGGCCATATTTGACCCTCGGACTAGTTAGTCCCCTATTCTGAATGGGGCCTTAGAATCAAAACTAAACAGGATTATGTGACCCAGTGTACTCAACACTACTTAAAGAATACCCTACCTGTACATGTAAAAGGGGGTAATTTTCTTAAAAGTGGCCATTTCCAACACAAAAGAAGAGATTTAAGGAACATTGTTTGTTGGGACTCATGCATAATAATTTGGTCATACATGTGGATGTACTGGTTAAATTTGGATCTTATGCTCAAAGTTATTCCCTTTAAGAACACCAACCCTAAGTTTTTTTGTGTAATTAACATCACAAGAACCCCATCAGCAATTAAGCAGGACATACATAAAACAAAGATGAAGACACAGGATACTATTAGACAGACGGAAGAAGAAAAAGAACTAAGCACAGAGTTATTTGACTATTGTATAATTCATGAATTATGTTTGGAAGAGGAGAGTTAAAGAGGGGAACAAGAGTCTCCACATACAAGTTATAAGTTTTTTTCTGGCACACATTGTGAGCTACAGCCTCAGTTTCTTGGCATTTCAGCTCTGCTGAGTTCTTTGCCTCAGAAGGTATGAGACAAAAAAAGCTCGCCACTTCATAATACACACAGAGCTGCTGGCTCAAATGTGTGCAAAATCAATGGCTCAGCTGGTAGCTCAGAGTGTGTGCTGGCCTATTTAGATTTCAGAGAAATACTAATACACTGACTAGTATATGCACCATCTTCTATTTATTTCTTAATAGTTAATTCATCCAGTTACATTAATTTATTATGTTGTCAACAAATATACACATGTACCTGTTTGAAATGGGATCAAAGGCTTCCACAGAATTCAAATAATTGGTTCCATCGTGACCGCCAACCGCATAAATCTTTCCACCAAGTGCAGCTACACCAACGCCACCTCGTGGCCGTGACATGACAGTTAAAACCTCCCACGTGTTGGTAACAGGGTCGTACCTTTCCACAGAGTCCTGGGGAGAGTTGTCGTCAAACCCTCCTGGAATTACAAAAGTGTGACATTATAGGACTTGCTATTCACTTGTTGACTTTTGATAATCAATAAACTGATGGCTGGGGTGTTAGATACTTGCAGAGAAAGTAGCAAATGATGCCAAAACATTACTGCAAATGTCACCCTTTTTCTTAGCAATGTTCAATGATCATTGTTAAATGACCTAAAATCTTTTCAGTTTTGCTTCAGACATAAAAAATTGACATATGGTACAAAAATGAACTTAGTGTTCTTTATGTGACAAATAAATCATCATAAATTGCAATGACAAAAACCAAAACCAATTACACAATGATAATATCATACAGAATTATACAACTAGCAAATACTTCAATGGAAGAAAAAGACAAATATTATGGACATGTCATCCACATCAGCCTATTATACTAACCCACAACAAAGAGATATCCATCCAGGACTGCCACCCCTGCTCCTGCTCGTCTCTTCTTCATGCTGGCCACAAATGTCCACCGGTTCACATGTGGGTCGTAGCGCTCACATGTGTCCAGAGAAGTAGTGCCATCATTCCCACCTACGGCATACAGCATGTTCTGAAAAACAAAATAATTATCATGTAGGTCACTTTTCTTATAAGACAACTGATGTATCTTGCCAATTCAACCTCTGAATACTTGTCCATAACATGCATTTTTACACTTAAAGGGTTTCAATACATAGGGAAAGCTAGGACAAAATTTCTCAGATTTACTTTTCAGGTGTCGCAAACTCTGGCAAAACATCTTTACCTTAAGAGCACCTACACCAACACCACCTCTTGGAGTGTTCATCGGGGCAACAAAACTCCAGGAATCTGATTGGATATCATATCTTTCCACTTGATTAAAACAGGTAGAGTCATCAAGACCACCAACAACATATATTGGACCATTCAGGGAAGCCACTGCAATACCACGTCTGTACACACCAAAAATAATATTAAAAATAATATATTATAAAAAAATAAATAGTAATAATAATCAATTTTAAATAAGAAGAAAAAAATCTTTCCTATGATTTAAGTGACAATCAAATTTTATTTTTTTAATACAAAGCATCTCATATGAAATCTAAGCAACTTTATTACACATAATTGATATCAATACATCTGTATTATAATCTGCTTAGATATACTCTTTACAGCTTAGTACTGACTTTGCTAATTCATTATATGTACTAGGGATATAGTTTAAATTGCTGCTGTTTTTTTCTTTCACTGAAGATATTACATGATTTGCATTTTATAGTTAAAATTGTAAGCAGCATTTACCTGTATGTTGCCATAGAAGCAATGGCTTTCCATTTATTAGTCACAGGGTCAAACACCTCGCAGCTGTTCAGGTGCTCATTACCATCATGACCACCTATGCTGTACAGGAGACCTGAAACACAAAAAAAAAAGAAAAAAAATTAAACAAGGCCAAAATCATACTTAAACATTTTTTGAAAAAATATAAGGTCTAAACAGTTCATGCACAGTGCAGTACTCGACCTGCTTTATAGCACAAACATTTAAAAACCAAAACAGCAACATTATTTAATTCCATTATTCATACCCACCTTCCACAGACCACACCAACATGTCCAGCTACCCACCTTCCACAGACACCACACCAACATATCCAGCTACCAACCTTCCACAGACACCACACCAACATATCCATCTACCCACCTTCCACAGACACCACACCTACATATCCAGTTACTCACCATCTACAGACACCACACCCACGTGTCTCCTCTTGGTGGTCATCTCACTGATGGTCAGCCACCTGTTGTTCCTTAAATCATAACACTCTATGGACTTGAATGGATCACCTGTCCCACCACGCCCTCCAACACAGAACATAACACCTGGAAATATATCAAAATATCATACTTGGATAGTTCCCCTTAAGACTACAGTATTTACTTATGATTTTCAAACACTTCACATTTTCTTTATCTTTTACCCTTTCAAGATTTATATATTCTGATACTTACAAAATTGTACATTCTGATGAAAAGCCAACTTTCTCATAAGAATAAATGTGTAGAGAAATAAATAAAAAATAAATCAAACAAATAAAAAAAATAAATGAAAAAAAAAATGCATGTTAGCATACCAGCACAACTTTTCCGTGGTCGTAATCTTTCAGACAGTTTAACAGTGGGATAAACACCAGACAGAAACAACTGGTAATGCTTGGCCTCATCAATATAATCTCTGCAGTCCAGATCTTTCTTCATCATGGGCTCCTGCTCCACTTTGCCCATCAGATACGAGGCTGGCAGAAGAGGAAACTTCACATAANAAATTTCCTACAGAAGAAATTAATTGAAATAAAGAAAAGGTCATTTTGCTTGAAATTCTTGAAATGAGAGGCGCTCAGAAGTCCCAGATATTCAAATTTCATGAATTAATGTTATCTTTGACCAGAAGTTGTCTGCCTCACCAAGCCTTATGTTATCTTTCCCAGACATTCAAAATTTTATGCATATTGCCGTATTGCACATTTTACTTTCACCTCCACAATGTACTATTTGATACAGCATAACTCGTAAACCATATGGAATTCGAAAAAAACGGAGACCACTTTCAGTGTTGGGCTTGACATGCTCTACAAAATACAAAAAAGAATAGATCTCTAGCATTAACGGTTCCCGAGTTAGAGACAGTTTTCAGTTTCGGTATCTTATGGCCGCTTCTCCCGTGAAAATGCACCGATTGACCCCAAACTCACGGAGATGAAAGACGACCTGAAGGGTAACACCTGCCAATAATATTATAGGTTAGTTCTGTGTAGTTTCTGAATATCAACGCAACTATTTTTTTTTTTTTTTTTTTTTTTTTGTAAAAAATCCCTTTTTTAATTTTGGCCCCTTTCACCTTGAAATAAAGGTCAAAGGTCAAATCCAAGGGCACATTTGAAATCTCCACATATGAATTTCGGTCAGCCGTCTGTAGATTTTTCCATAATTTCTTCCGTATGGTAGATATTTAGCATTTAATTTTGCCAATTTTGGACAAGGGTGCATTTCGACGAGCACCACACCTATTGGATCACGACGACCAAAATACAACTTTGAGTCAACGTCACATTATGACAGCGTTTTTATGTGGCTGAATCGACATTGATTTGACGTTGACTTTAGGTAGATCAACGCCCCACCTTTTTTTCAACGTTGATCTAATGTCACTATGCCTGTCGGAGAAGACAACAGCGTCTCCTCGTCACTCTAAGAGGCCATTTCCACAGATATTAAGATCGATCTATCCCCCTGGGGAGTCTCACTAAATTGCTGCCAACTTGGCCGGCTTAAATGTCTATCACGACTAGAAAAGCTGTTAGGGGGTAATTATCTTTACCCTAGTTGATTCGGTAGGCGTGACAGACATTTAAGCCTCTTCAGCTGACAGCAATTTAGCGTGAACCCCCAGGGAGTTAGGTCAATCCAGATGGATCGATCTTAATCTGTGGGAATGCAGTCTAACATCTAATCATACCTCTACTATCTAAAATATCTTGTAAGTCAAGTATATACAAATATATACTTTACTTTCCATAGTTTTGAAACTTATCACAGATGAATTTTCCTGTCCTATGACAATAATTATACTCATATTATTAATACAAAGTGAACATTACCGTCACATATCTTAACTTGGAATAATACCTACTTCAAATAGACAGTAGCTGCCTCGGCTTGGTTGCAATTCATATACAAAAGCAGCAGTGGAGAGAGATAGAGAAACAAATCTGATCCGACTGGGCTGGAATACCAGATGACGACCATCATCTCGCCAATCCTTTTGTGGTTGCCATGCTCATTAAATACTCAGAACTCTGATATTTATTTATTTATTTATGTATTTTATTACTTAAGCGGCACTTTTGTGTGAATCTGAACCATATCAGGCTCCACTTTATCAGTTGTTCCATTTGAGTTGATCTGAATTCGTTAAATTGAGAAAGAAAGACAGAGAGATAGAGAGAGGGTAAAAAAGGAGGTCTAACATTTTAAAAATCTGTCCAATAGTCACTTGTCTCACGGCTTATTCCCAATGATACTATAAATGAAAATGGCATTGGTGGATGGGCCAAGCACTAGAGATTTATCCAAAACTGAACAAGACCAAAAAATTATACAAACAAAGTAAATTGTTTCTTAACAGTGTAAACACTTTTTTACCAATGAGGTATAATGTTTTGACTTTACCATCACTTTACAAATAAAAAAAAGAAATATATATTCCTGAAGACCAAAATGGTCGGTCTTAACAAATGCAATAAAATTTCAACATGATTTTTGGGGGTTAAACAGACCAAATTGCACAAGATTATACAAAAACAGCATCACACAAACTTCTGATAACCATAATATTTTTATAGGACACTCATTTTAATAGTGAAGGTTTTGTATTGTTATGCCAAAATACAGTACTACAGTCACATCAGGCCTAAGGGGCCATTCACAATGAATTTTGTCAACTTAGCTTACACACATTAAGTCCACGGGACTCACGTTGAATACAATCAGAATATAACAGATTACTTGGTAGCATACCTAACATTGTGTAGAATATAGAAACTTAAAGCTAGGGAATATACGAGTAAGTTGGTAAAAACATTTGTGAGCAGTCACACTCACGAGAAGCAGATCCACCAATCTGACCTTCAATCAATCATAAACAAAATTGGATAAGTATTTTCAGCTTATCTTATCACATTCAACTTCACATGCCCTAAATTTTCTTGAATAATTATGATTTATTAAAATGAGCATGGTACAATAGAACATAACTGTATAGTATTTAACGGAACATGAAATGCAGTCTATGTAATTTATTTAAAAGAGCACGGCCTCTGAGAGATCTGGTGCCAGTAATTATATACATGCTTGCAGACGTGGAAACTGCTGCAGAACATGCTAACTTCATAACAATTCAGTTTATTATGTAATAATGATAACATTTCTATTACAACGACAGAAGAAATATGACATGAACAACTATCAATTCAGAGTTTTATGTTGTAAGCTGAAATCACAATGGAGTTAATCTCCTCAATGCGCTTTTTGAACACGGCTTACACAAGTGTGCATGGTTTATTTGTTGTCGACATCGACAAATTTCACCCAAACCCAATATAGAGGTGCATTTCACAAGTTTAAGTCTCAAAAAATGAAATTGAATGAATTCGATGTATTATCCAATTTTTTAAAACTTACATGTGTATAGAACAAAAATCCACAAATGTCCCAATGTTACGCCCACGTGTTTCTGTTTTGTAAGCAAATAAATTGATAACCGTTTGAAGTGAAAAAAGCGTAAGAAAGAACATACGTTACCACTGAATCGCCTGATACAAACACGATCATTAGTTGAGCGCTGTAGAAATTTGTGAAGCTAAACACTATCAGAACCCTATGAGTCATTAATAATGGAAAAGTGATAGGAAAATACTTTTAAATTTACCAAATATAGGAAAATTACTTTCAAACTAAAGATCATTTTTCTTTTCAATGTCCACGTTGATGACTCTTTCAATAGCAGTAATTGCCAATTGTATAGAGAATTGAAAACTTTGTTACCTAAAAGTTATCTACCACAGGTCATATTCGTCGTGAATTTAAAACTCATTGGCAGTTTCAAATTTTAGGTGTATTAGTTACAATACCAACTACGCCTCGCATCCATCGCATACCGTAATGTAACGTATGTTCCACAGCCATAGAAAAGATACGGGACACGAGTTTAATAAATATTGATAAGATATTTTTTCGCTTTTTTTTCGTAGAATAAATTGAGGTGTTTAAAAGTAACTCAGACATCAAAAGTGATAACATATTTACACAAACACGATCCACGTATCAAACGTCTTAATCATTTGCATGTAAAGAAAGGCAGATCCCAGAAACATCTAACCTACCACCCCTTTAAACGAAGCCTTTTTCAACACACCTATAGGTTTTATAATACAGTAGAGAATTCGTTCAAAATGAACTTTACTATCCTCTCTGAAAAGTGTAAATTGTCTTGCGGATTTCGGCACTTTTGGGAATTAAAAAAATGTGTATATATATATATATATATATATATATATATATATATATATATATATATATATATATATATAATGTGTGTTCCATCTATAAAAAGTAAGTGGCTCACAAAATTACGTTTTTAAGTCTTTCCATTGAGTGGGTATAAGAAACAGATATCACTTTAGAGTTCAAGGGTCTCTACGGTCTTTATCAGTCGCTATTTAAGACAAATTATAGGCTGCATGATTTCTTGTAAAAGTTTCCTTGAGATTTCTTAGATGTTCATACTGTGTTACTACTCTGCCAACGTGCTGGATGATTTTTTTTCTTTTTGGTTACTGGCGCTCTTGGCCTCTACTATAGTCGTCTCGTTAAAAAAATCGTATACAGCTTGCCTTTTTTTTCCTGCTACTCCCATCCGTCGACTTTTCGACCAGTTCATCCCCTTTTCGCGAGTTCTCGACCAATGATTCCGGCAAATGCCAGTAGCAGCTGAAAGAAATCTGAGACAACGGTACGTCTTCGCAATCTTCTCAGCCACTATATTATGAAAAATTTTCATCTTACTTCTAGGTGTAACTCGTTAAACTTGACCCACTGTAGCTAAAAAAATCATTTTATATAAGTCATATTTTTAGGATGATGAGTCTTATTGGATATTATATGTATATATAATATTATTTTTATCCCAAAGGATAAAGGTAACAATTTGCTACATTGTTATTATTGCTAAAATAATAAGGGTAGTGGCGTTATAAAATAAAAGCGGCCTTGTTTGACCAAATCTTGAACAATCGATATTCTTTGTTGCCTTCTTTTTGTTCTAAATAAGACTATGAAAGTTTGTGGTACACTGGGATGGAGGAGACATAAAAGTAATTGCTTCTGCACAGTGTTAGCTTGGGTCTATAGCCTGCTGTATGACGCGTTCTGTCTTAATTTTGGGGCATGTGGAAAATTCAGGTGGTTCCGTATTTCGTCTTCTACAATGGCTAATCGTTGCCGGATAGCATTCTCCCTCTTTCATTAACCTGTGACTGTAGTTCTTTAATTGTTCATTGTGACTGCCTTCAGTTTCTTCTCAATCGTTTCCACGTTGTGGCCACCTCGCACACACAACAAGTCTCTCAGGTGGTGATTGCTGTGGACTTGCCTCGGCAACTTCTATAGCAGCTAGGAGCTCTTCTTTCCTTTGGTGAAGTCTACGTTTTTGTGATTTAGTCTTCGCATGCCTCTTTTGTCCTTCACGACATTTATAAGGCGGGGGCGGAAGGTAGGCCTACATAGTATTTTGAACCCGTTTTCTTTCGCTTCCAAATAAGAGATCGATATTTTTTTTAAATCTCAGCTCTTGTTTTCGCATTTTTCTGAAATAATGATGTTCCTTTCGGTATCAATGTATATGGCACTGCGCTCACTGCGCTCGTTGGCGATTATTTCTTTCTTGCAGAGTCTTGTTTGACATTTATTTCCGTCTTTGACATTCATTTCTGTATTTGAATTAAATATTTTATTACGGCAAAATCATTTACTTCGCCTACATCGTTACTGAGGATTTTATGGATTTATTTACACTTGTATCTAACCTCATCTAATCTTTAGCTCGAGCAGACGTCAGAAAGAACCACCTGACATCTCAAACAGAAGCTAGTTTTTCTTTTGGAGCCAGTTTCGGGCACAAGTAGATTTTCACTGGTAACGTATGTTCCGGTAACGTATGTTCCAGGCCACCTAATTTTTATTTTCATAACGTGTTCTTATATGTTTTGAAGTGATTCAATCATGTTAAATCAAATATGATGTAAGGACGTTTTTTTTATAAATATTTAAACCGTAACTAATGGGGCCTGCGTCATGGCTAATGGTAACGTATGTTCCCTAGGAAAATTGACAAAATGTTTCATTTTGTACAAGTACTTGGTGCAAGAGAAAACAATGTTTTCTTTTGCTGACAGAAAAATATATAGTGATTCCATGATAGTTTGACATTTCATATATAATATTTGGAGCACGAGGGGAAAAATAATTTATTTAATGCTTATTTTACTGTCGGTAGGGTGTATTTTTCCCGTTTTTTTATATTCAGTGACAGGCAAACTTAAGTCGCTAAAAAACAATTAATTGCTCTATACAGAAGCTTTTCGTAATTTTTTACAACGTTATACTTGAAGGAGATAAATTAAAGAACAAAACCCGTGATGATTGAGTTTTCAAAGTGGTTAAAACGTTTCCACAGCTAGACGTTATGCATTTGTGACAGTAACGTATGTTCCTTTTTGGGGTTAGATGATGAATTATCTTTTATTATTCGTGGTCCCAGGAAAGTGAAACTTTAATACAAACTTCTTTTAGATGTGGGACCCTAAAATAATCAAACATAGTTTGTAATCTGTGCACTACACATTTTTAGGAACATGTCTGTGACATCGTTTGCACCTCTATATTGAGTTAGGGTAAAATAAATCACGCTATGATATTGTATTATGAATAGTTGCTCAGTGGTTTATTTATTTTTGTTTTGAGAGAGAGAGAGAGAGTGTTGTCGACATCGACAAATAAATCACGCCATCACATCTAACGCAATCTCACGGTTATCTGTTCATGAATATTTGAGTAGTTTTTGTCAACGTTCGCTATAAAAGCGGACGCATACCACTTCTGGGTGCGGTCAGGTTTTTCTCCTCATAATGTAATAAGGTAAGCTACATAGAACGTTTATAGACATGTACATTTAGTTGTTTATTTATTTCGATATAAAACATTTGGTAAACCGTCGTCACCTATTTGTAGTTGATTAAGTCAGGTGATATTAGTATAAAGTCATCTTTTTTATATCGATATAAATATTTAGTCGACATGTACGTTCTCCTTTTAGGCAATTGCTTTCCTGGCCGCCACGTTGCTGTGCTCGTAATCTTTAAGTTGCCGAATGTTGTGTAAGTACTATAGCTATATAATTTCATAGTTTTATTTATATTGTCGATATTTGCGTTTAGGTGTTGCTCTCTCTCTCTCTCTATTCTTTATTTTGCATTTGTAAACTTACAGTAAGTCAGTTTTTTTATATTTGTTATTTCTGTATAGTAATTCATTTATTTTTTATTATTATTCCTTTTTTATTATTTGTTTAGTTTCACCACTACAGAATTCCCTACAGATATCACTGCAAGATAGTTTTCCGATATCACTTCATTACACCATTAAAATGTGTCTATGAAACGACGAATGGGGTTGCGTCAGACCCGCTCTTTTTTTCCATAACCATATTTAAAAACGAGTTAAAGTAAAAGGCTAAACATTAAATACATTTTTCTTATTTGCAGCAGGCAACTCGCATTTCATCTGGCCCTGACGGTGGCCATGACAACACGCCCCAGCTTCCCCCACCACTGCGGTGTGAGTGAAGACCAGCACTGGTGAAACTTCAAGATTCTGTGGATATGATATTGGAGAAACTCCTGCGACATGAAGAGCTGCTTCACCAAATTTTGGGAGCCCCCCTACCACCCCACCATTATCAGACCACCCCCCCCCCTGCCACCACCTACACCACCAAACCATCCCCCCTGCCGCCGCCACCGACTACGGAACACCACCCCCTGCATCCCTTTTGAATTTAGACAGCCTCCTCCCATCTCCCCAACCTCCCCCTGCTTTTCCTAGCCTACCACCTTTCCCTGCATATCCCCAACCCCCATTTTTAACATACAAGGAGCACATCACTCCCATGCCCCCTTCCCTTTCCCTCCACACTACCCGTACCCAGTCCATGCCCCTGCCCCTGCCCCGGCTCGTTCACAAGGCCACCCTCCCCAGACCCGTCCGTTATTCCCCACTGAGAACGAGCTCCTTGTCCTGAAACAGAATTCCACGGGGGCGACCAATTTTTGCGTGAAGCTAATGGGGCAGCTCTTCAGCAGGTAGGAGAGGACGGACCCCACAAAGGTTCCAAGAGAGGGGGCGACATACGGAGTCCGTTGGACAGATATAGAATACAATTCATACGAAATGCTGTTGGTCGGTACTTCCCGGAGCAGCAGAGACTGAACAAGAACTTTTGGGGAAAGATGGTTTCTGCGATGAACACTGCCACTAGAAATTTGAGAGCGTGCAACCAAAATTAGTAAAGTGTATTAGTTGTTTATTTAGTATTAGTTTTTCAGTTTTTACTTCAAAATAGATTAGATTAAGACTGCATTGATTGCCTTTACTTTTTCATGTTAATCTTTGATTTATTTTGTGTAATTCAATTCTGTTTTGTGACCAAAGTGACTTTTGTTGTTCATCTGGGCCATTTTAAATCCAGTATTAATTTTTCACCGCAAATATTTTAAAAGCTTACCGCAAAGCTATATTTTTCCAGTTTATTTCAATTACTGTGGGACGAGCTTCGATCAGTTTGAAATGTCACGCCATTCAGTCATTCCACGTTCAAAAATTAAACTTGAACTAAAACGGATAGCTAAAAAGTGCACAGTATTGGCCTCGTCACAGCGTAGCAGGGTACAATACCTTTTTATTTTATTAGCCCACAATCACTCGAACTACAGTATATCAGGCCTCATTTCACGCGTGGCTAGCTGTGTTTGGGTAAGGCATGAACACAACCCAGGCCCGCTAGCAATTTCAGGGGGGGGGGTTCGTTTTCTGAAAAAGTGGACCTTTTACTATAAAATCCTCAAGTACATAGGTAAAATTTTACCCAGAGTAGACCTTTTTCCAGCAAAAAAGGTGGTTCTTTCGACCCCCCCCCCCCCCGGCTACGGGCCTGCAACCGTCACCCAAATTGCATAATCCCAGCCCCTCCTGTTGTCCCTTCACCTGAATAAGATGTCCGTGTTATGTACGTAAGTCGGCATTGTACCTAATCTTAAGAATGTACAAATAATTTTATTGTCTTCTGTTGAAAATCAGAGCACCGATGGGGTCACTTAATTTCCATGACCCACGCGTTGCATATGGTTGCTGTTGATCATAAGGGCAGTTATCATTTCTCTTATTGAAACATAGCCGAAACTTTCTTTTTTCAACAATTTCATTTACAAATAAGGAATGCCATCAATAACTTCTTTAACCTTCTTTATTCGAAATTAAGCATGGCTAAAAGAAAGACATTTTAAGAACTCATCAATATACACAATCTTTTTGATCATTTCGTTCATTTTAAATATTTGAAATATGCAAACAGAACTTCAGAATATCTCTCTAACCCTCTCATTTAACACATATTCCTTACATTGAAGATTGTTACTTTTGAATGAAAAGTTTTAAATTTTAAACCCTCTTATATATCATATCAATAAACCCTCTTATATATCAATAATTAAGTCTACGTTTGGATAAAAATACCACCACAACCTCGTAGGCCTATATGTCTTCACCGTAACAATGCACACATAAGCACCCTGCCTATGGTAAAATAATTTGGAAAAAACAGCCCTGCGATATAACTAATAACTAAATAAGCATTCTAATCAATATGCGATATAAATATGGTGAACAGAAACATTCCTATTCTGAATGCTGCAAAGGTGAACTGATTAAGACTAATAAATATATATATATATATATATATATATATATATATATATATATATGTATACACCAAGGTAAAAAATTAAGACCTAAAATATAGCCTACACCATTTTCAATCACTTCGCTCCCTTGAAGAATTCCAAATTTGAAAACGGTGCCTCAAACTATAACGTTTACTTAGTACAAATATTCTGTTCGTTCAAACTTGTGTAATTGAAAGAATGTTTTGACTTGAATCCCTCCAATATATTAAATGGGAATACTTATTTAGTCTACATATCAATACATATACAGACTTGACATTTAATATGGAATATTTTAGTTTCGAAGGTATACCTAGATGAAAATACGTTCTTTTTTAAAAAAACTCCGATTTCATATAAGATTTGTGAATGTAAAAGTGTGCAGTCAGGTGTGTCACTACCAATTAACTGACTTTCATGCCTGTTGCGCTGCTACAGTATGTAATTTGCAGTGATTTAATTGGGTAGTGTTCCTATGGGCTGATCAAAGCTTGGCTTAGGCAAAGCTTGGTTCTGTCAAAAAAGTATCCATATTTCGGCAACTACTGCATAGAAGAATTTGAAATTTTGCATGCAAGCGGTCAGTTTTGCAGTGCGTAA